CATTCTGTTTCTGGTTAGTTAAAAAGCGGCATGAAAAAAACTGACATTGACAATAGTTTACTATAAAGCATAGTTGTATGTCCCATTTTTTTAAAAAAAAAACATTTGCTGGGCTAAAGCATTATTAATCTCTCCCATCTGCTTTCCCCCTTGAAGGAGGAATACTCACAAATATTTAACTGCAGTTTCTCAGTGACAGACTTCAGAAGTTCTCACTTGCACCATAAGTCAGTACACCCCCTCTAAAAAGGGTGTGTGTGTGAAAATAGAAGTTGAAATCGAATTTGGGTACAAATTTGTAGTGCACTGCATAAGAAAATAGAATCCACGCTGCCCAAACCAGGGGGCAGGGGAGTGCTACATGAAAACAGCAGCAAAAGTACTTCCACAAGTCTAAGAACCGATAAACATTTTATTTCTGAAATGGGATCTTCCATAGTGCATGCAGATCCACTCTGAATGAGGGTGCACATGGCAAATCTGTGAAAAGCAGTTTCTTTGCAAGATAGCTCAGTGGTTTAGGTATCTGGCTGCAGAACCAGAAATTGGAGTTTGATTCCCCACTTTGCCTCCTTAAGGCAAGAGCTGGACTCAACAATCCATAGGATCCCTTTCAATGATGCAGTTCTAAGATATTAGATTATTATTATAGTTTTGCATGGAAGCTTGCTGTTCAAAAACCCGAGAGTTGCAGCTTTTGGGATTCTACTAATACTTATACAAATATTCTGCAACAAAAGTCTTTTTAAAAAAGATCTCTGTTTTCTAATCCATCTAAATGAATTGAGGTACAATGAAGCTGGTGGTACACAAATGAAAAATATATTTTCTTACCATGTTGGGTGACAGTCAGAGAACAAGATACAGTGGCAAAATTTGCTGTTAACAAGAAAGCCAAACAAGCTTGCTGTTGCTTTGACAAAGGAGGGATTAAAGCAGTCAGCCTGTGGTTTTGTGTTCTATTTTATAGACCATGTGGTTCCGCACTGAGTAGTTTTTGAGCTCAACAATGGATAAGAGATGAGGCTTAGTTTAATATGGCAATAATGGGGATTCCATCATCAGACAGCTGGTGAATTATTTATTTACTACTCAAAGAATCTGCCTCCCTTCCCAAACATCACACAAGTGCATCTCCATTGTAACAAAGCTGGGGGCAGGGGTACGGCGGGGAGGGGGATTCCTAGCAGGTAGTGGTTGTAATGCAGCTTAAAATTCCACTAATGGCTTTTAATGCAGAGGAAGCAAAGCCTGAGAAGTGTTATGGATTTTCCTCCACTGTGGAAATAACATTTGTTCCATGCTACAGACAATCTGGTCTCTTCTCTTTAGTTTTCATGGTACATAAAACATATTGGGTTATAGCTTTTTTTATTTATTAAAAAGGCACATGTTTCCAGAGTGTCTCTAGGGCAGTTATCTGAACCTTGCAGAACCCCAAGTGTGTACTAGAGCACCCATAATGTCGAATAAGCACATCTGAAGGGCATTATTTTGATGAATGCTGCGAGAAAAGTTGCTGAGAACTGCTGTTTGCAAAGAGTCTGATCTCGTATGTGTTTATGTTTTCAAGTGAAAATTCAACAAAATGACATATACTAGCCATTGTTATTATTATGTGCCATAAAGATTCCTCTGACTTCCATCAACCCTATGAATGTTATTATATGGCAACCCTATGAATGAGCAATCTCCAAAATGTCCTGTCCTCAACTGCCCTGCTCAGCTCTCATAAACAGAAGCCTGCAACTTCCTTTAAGAGGCAATCCATCTCCATACTAGCCATACCAAGAAAGACAACTTTAATCAGATGCTTCTTTTTCTTGCAACTCTCCTACCAGAGGCTAAGACTTAATCATCTTCTGACTTCTGAACACAGCAGCTCCAAGGTTCTGACTTCTGGACTCAGCAGCCTGAGGGCCATTCTCCAAGGTTTTTTAACCATTAAGCTCTTCTTTCTGCACTCTTTTCTCTTTTAAATTTCAATGATCAGCTGTAACAAACTAACCTTTTTGTTTCTAATTACATGGTCCAAGTATGCTAGCTGTCTGGATTTCATTTGTTTTATGATCTCTTGGTTTTCACATGAATTCTTCCCCTCCCTTCAGAGCAAAGCAATTCTTAGCACCATGCAATAAATGCAGATGTCAAATGCTTGGGTTTTTTTAAATAGTACCCTATGCTAAAATCTAGGAGTCTATGGTAGACAGCACAATCAAGTGCATATTGCATTGTATACCACCCCTTCACAACACCACTCTTAAGTTGTTGCATATTACATTCCACAAGTTAAAAAAAAGCTGTCTTCAGTCATATAGTAGCCTCTTGGTTTTGATATTAAAGAAGCTGTCAGAGACTGAGAGACTGTATATCAGTCATATAGTAGCCTCTTGGTTTTGATGATGATGATGATGTGATCTGAGTAAGAAGTCTGGTAAGATGATTAATTTTTGAAGTACATTCCACTAATTTCAATGGAATCTTTCCATGTAAGTCAGTGATGAAACTACTTGCACAACTACGGTGGATAAAAGTCAATCATTTTAAAAATCAAATTGATTTAACTCACAATTTAAATCATGGGTTGCATTTTTAAAATCTATTCATGAAAAGCTGCAATATTCAAAATCACTTTTCTTTTGCAACAATTGCTCAACATGACACAGGAAATTTCATTCTCTTCTCTTCACTAGCTGTCTTCACTGCAGCTCTAGATTGATTTACCTTGGCCTCAGTGACTTTATGTAGTCAAATTACAATGCCTTCCCACTCCCTGTCAGCTTTGATGGGGTGCATGCATCATGGTGCCCCATCTTTCACCGCTGCTGTTATACTATTATTTGCCTGCAGAGACTTTATAATACCAAACCTAGCTGCACAATTCTAAAGGTATCTTGTTTACTGTACCATCTCTATAATATCAATGGAATCTTCTTTGCTTTAACATTCTTGTAATATCAAAGCCATCCTTTTTAATATAGCTTTTCCACGTCAACTGGGACATACACTGTGATTCATCCATTTTTTTTAAAAAAGGACCCAAAAAACAGCAAGAGCAACAAAACCAGGGCTGTCAAATGTCCAAATCAACAACAGTCAGCACCTATCAATGTCTCTGAACAGGACTTGGAAAACAATAATATCTGCAGAACAAGTATTTGTGTTTACAGTAGTTTCGTATAAAAAAACAAATGGGCAAAACAGCTGTAGGCTTTCTTGTCATTTGATATTATGAATTCTATATGTTTTCTTGTTATCATTGGACAAAACATTTTACAACTTAATATTTTGGGCAGGTATTTTTACTGACTGAAATGGTGTGTTGCAATATTTTACTAAATATGTTTCAGTGGATCTGTAGCTATTTGGCCACAAAACAAAGTTCAAAACTCATTCTGGTGAGATATTTCATGCAGCCATCTAAAACAGCACAAGAACACATTCAAGCTGTCATCATCACTGGTCTCTCCATCAGGCAAAATGTCACAAAAGTAAGCAAAAAGAAGGATCTATTGGGGGAGCAGACAAATATGCTTTGAACTGCAGCATTGTGCTGCTTATATCTTGTTTTGTTTGAGTGATGGCAGTTGTCTTGCTCTCAATACTACAACTTCAATTTAGCTATTAGTGAAATACCATGTAGGGTGTGTGCTGAATTGCTTTGATAAATGAATATGGTGATTAAATGAAAGAATTACATATGGATGATCATGTTGCTCAGGACTGTCACAATTCTTAAAATAATTACTTGACTGCTCACAGAGCAAAACAGAGATGCCTGAAATCCTAAATGTATTTATTATTTCATGTTTTACTTTGTAATCTCTGTATTCTAACTCATATGTCTGAAGGAGTGAATGATGTACCACAAAAGGTTACATTAAAATATAGCCATTAGTCTCTAAAGCCACACATTTTTCCTTTTCTTTTGTGTTCCTTGCTGACATTATTATTGTAATGTAATGTAATCATCTAATGTGTATACGATGTGTGCATTTTATGCAGCTGCCTCCCCTTCCCCTTGGAAGAATTACATGCTTGCATTTTCTGTAGAAAGTAACCAAAAGCACAGCGCTAAGCAAAGTGCCAAAGCTGTGTGAACAAAGATGTCATAATCTGTCATGTCACTAGTACTATCCAACTAGGTTCCTGCGACAGCTGCACAACTAAATATTTCTTCTTCTTACAACATTTTCCTTCCAAGTACACAGATATTTCATCTTCTAGTTTCACAGAAAGAGACACAGAGAAAAGATTCACTTCCTTCCCTGCTCATTCTTACCGGATTTGAAGGATTAGTTATTTCTTTGACAGTCCAAATCTTCACACACCTAGTCAGACAGAAACTCCACTCACTTCAACTAACTCTGCACCCAGGTAAGTTTGTATTGTGCTACAGCCTGAAGGATTAAAATGTTTTGTTCAGGGTTAACAAGGCTAGGAGAGCATATATGATTTATAATATAAAATGAAATGAAATCCGACAACACTTACGGCAATCTCCATTTTCCATTCACGATCGTCATACAGACAACAAAAGTAGTCTTCATAGTTACAGCCAAACTTTTTTTAACTTCCCCACCCCATTTCCTACAGAATACTGAACATTTTAATGTACTCTATACACTGTAGCTCTACAGAGAAATCTAAACCTATATTTAACTTTATGTTTAGTGTTTGGGGGGCTAGAGGAAAGAACTACATTGAAAACTAGAGGTGAGAACTGCTTTGCTGGTCAACACCATTTGATACTAACTGTTGTCTGGAGATATTGATAGTCTTCTTGTATCCACATATCAACTAGATCTTTGTGCTCAGTAACCTATACCCAGATTCCACAACATATACAACTGAAAAACATACATTCAGGATTACATTTATGAGCCTTCTAAAGCCTGAGAGCCAAAAGCGAAAAGCAGAATGACAAAATAACTTTGTTGTCCAAATGAAAGCAAAACAGGTGAAGCAATATTTTTTTACAATGAAAATAAGAGCACTACCTGATTGGCTGGTTCTCTTTACTATCAAAAAGTGAGAAGACTACTTCCAGCTCTTCTCCTAGATTGGAACACATCAAACTCTTCATCTGAACAAAGAGATGGTGGCTGCTGGCTGGGACTGGTGTGTCTTTCTTGCGATGCCGGTGCTCCATCTAGGCATTGACATACATTTTTTAATTGTATGACATGAACATATCCTACACATAAATGTAGAAAGCTACACTTTCATTCCTACAACAATTTTTTTTGTTCTCCCGTTCTTATTTTGAACGTAACCCATCTATCACGTTCATCTTTTTTCTTCTTCTTCATAGGTAAATAGTGGTAAGTAATTCACACATTTTTGTTATGTTCAACAAAAATAATTAATAAGCTTGTGCTGTCAAGTTGATTCCAACTTATGGCTACCCTACCAGGTTTTCTGCATAGATATCATTCAAAAATGGTTTACCAGTCTTTCCTTTTAGTGACATTCTGCGGCCATGAAGCTTGCTCAAGGCTTCATACAACATAACCTCAAGGTGTTCTTGGTTGGCGTCTCTCCCAGGAATCATGGCTCCACAATATATCAGACTTGTGCTGTCAGGTTGATTCCAACTTATGGCTACCCTACCAGGTTTTCTGCATAGATATCATTCAAAAATGGTTTACCAGTCTTTCCTTTTAGTGACATTCTGCGGCCATGAAGCTTGCTCAAGGCTTCATACAACATAACCTCAAGGTGTTCTTGGTTGGCGTCTCTCCCAGGAATCATGGCTCCACAATATATCAGTAGGTATCATAGTCAACCAAAATGACTAAAATACAAAAGTAACTTACAACTAGAGTAGGCCCATTGAATCAATGGGATTTACAGAGCAGTTGGCTCAACAAATCCCCACTGATTCAGTATATAATGCTGCTCCATTTTCTTATATTCTGCTTATTTAATTATTTAATTATTTTATGTTACTCTTCTTCCGATGATTGCAGGGAGACATAGAATATTCTCTGCCTATGTTATCTTTAACAATAGCCCTATTGGGTAGGGGAGAGGGGAGAGGAGAATGACTTGAGCTGAGTTGTGCCAGTAAGTTTAAAGGCTGTGCAGAGATTTGTACCTGAGAAACCAGTTTTCATCTGGCACTCTAATCTTGCTGATTCACAATGTAAAACTAAAGTCCTTTTACTGGTACTCCTGCTGAGCTTTTGCAGGGGAAAAGCAAAGGGGTGTATGTGTGTGTTTGTATTTGCAATAACATCACCAACCCATGGGTGTTGACCTTGAATTCTTGTACAAGACAACACTTCGGCTACTGGGAAAGAAGAATGTTTTTCCTTCCTTTGGTGCCGGGATATTTTCCTTTTTAAAGCCACTTCTTACTCAACTGGCAAGCATCATGAATTTTATTCCACTATGGTAATAAGTTCAATGCCATGCAACAAATAATCAGGGCTCTTCTCTTGTTTTCATTATGTATAATGAAAACTTGTAATATATAGTAATGTATCTTTTCAGCTTTGGAAAGAAAAGCATAGCATGGAAACAAAAGCATACAAAAGGTTTTTATAACATGCAGAGTATATTCACCTTGGCAGTTCAGCTATTCAAGAATAGTGCTTCCAAAAATTCTGATCATGCACATTGTGATGTTTTAAAATAAACAGTTCTAAAAAGCAAAATCTGAGCTTCCTCCCTATGATGCTGGTAGCTTTTCTTTAAAATCCCATGGAATACATGAAAGGTTTTCTCTGTTGGTTGATACTACACCTCTGAATATTGGAGTATCCCATGTCTATAAAAGAAATCAACTTCTATAACAATATTAAATTAAATAATAAGGAATAATGTAGAAAGGAGAGCAAATTCAGCATGTTTGTATATGGGTTGTCCTGCAAAAAGAATACAGCTACCGTTGAAGTCGTTTTGCTTTAAGATTTAACTCAAACTGGAGCAAATCCTGTCAATGCAAAGAACTCTCAATTAATCCCAACACATTTCATTTTGAATTGGCATTATGGAATATTAGCATGAGGAACACACACAAAAAATGCAGGGACTTAAGGGGAAAATATTAAATCTATTATAGCTGTAGTCCTGTGGCTCCAAAATCTTTCTCAGAAGTCCTTGCAACCAGGAGATTCTCCTCTGTAAATAAGAAAATTCAGGACATGTACTGAGAAATCCCAATGCACACCAAATGTTTTGTTTTCATTTTGTGATGGCATTTTTGAGCAATGTTCTGAGCCTCCCTGTGCCTTGTAGCAACAACAGCAGTTAAGACTGGCCTAGAAGAATGACTTTAGTATAGGGATGCCCTGAAGATCTGGAAGAGAAAAAGGAGGTCGGGTTCCCGTGATCTGAACTCAGATTATTGTACTGTAGTTAACAGCTCAGTTGCACCTGTAGTAGTTCCCTTTGTTCTTGCTATAAGTTGCGTGGAAATCTCTGTCTATTTTGAAAGACGAACATAATAGAAAGGACTTATATACCTACCAGTCTATACAATTCTGTAATACTTATTTCCTCTGGATCCACCATTGCATACTCCTTTCTTGGAACCAAGTCTAGTCCCAGTTGTCTGTGGGCAAACATGATAAGCTTAGTTAGTGAAAAAGATTTTGGAGGACACTGGGTTCAATCTCCAAAAAGCATCTTCAAGAAGCCAAATTTGGTCCAATTTCACATTCTGTGTATGCACCAAAATACTTCAAAAGTATCTATACATATCAATACGCAATATGTATTATCATCCACATCATTACAGAGTATAATTTAAGACAAGACCAGCATTATTGCACACAATTATGATTGTTCCCATTAATGTAGTACTTCTCATCTGTTATCTTGTTAAAACCTTTAAAAGTACACTCCATTATTTCTCAGTCTACCAGATACATTTATTTAATAGATATACAATTTTACATAGAGAAATAAGTTACAAAAGTGTCATAAAAGTAGTGGGGAACAAAATGGTGATGAAAGTAAGAGTTAAAAAAGAAAAATTGGAATTTTTGAGCAATTAGCAAATACAGCTTCCACTCAGTCAAGGAAAAATTTATCCAAGCTTTAGTTCAAGATCGATCTTCAATCAATCAATCAATCAATCAATCAATCTATCTATCTATCTATCTATCTATCTATCTATCTATCTATCTATCTATCTATCTATCTATCTATCTATCTATCTATCTATCTATCTATCTATAAGGCTTGGATAAACTTCGTGACTGAGTGGAAGCTATATTTGCTCATGCACAAGGGACAAACAATTCTAATTCCCATCAAGCATGACCGTCTTCAGAGCCCAGTCAAGTTACACTGAGAAGGCAGGTAATAAAACAAACAAAAACTCCCTCTGCATGTAATAGTTTTTTTTTAATTCAGGCTTACTTTTCTAAGTAACTGCTACAACAAATGCCTGAGTAAAAAATGTCACCAGATGGCATAAATATGAATAACTCAACTGTTTAATCTTACAAAGCAGGGAAACTTTTTAAGTATCTTTGATTGCTAAATTGTATAAGCAGCTCCTCTGATGTAGTACATTAAAGCTTTCCTTGCAATGTCTACAGCTGCCTGCTACCTTACTTCTAAACAAATGGTAGGTAAACCATTCATGCAAAAAAAGAGAAAGAACCAAACATGTGCAGATTTTTCTGTTTAAAAGAGAAGCATCCCTAAGATTTCCCTGAACTAATGCACTGTTTAACACCAAAGTTTAGAATTCAGAAGAACTGAACTTATGCCTGCAGAGGACTCAAGATGTCCTTGTTTGTTATGGCACTTCCCAAAACACACTAGGGCAATTAAGACACAGGTAAATGCTAAGAACCCAGGAACATAACCCTGACTGGTCTTGTCATTAGACAAAGTGAGACGAACCCCTCAAGGAGCAGATTTTGGGTATCTTGTAGGAATGCACCATTATTTATTACTTATTTGTTTTGATTAACATTTTCATTGCTAGGATTTTGAGATCTATGCACTGAGAGGTTCTCGGAGACAGGAGGACCAACTGTTCAGCCAGGGCAAGATCCAAGTAGATACAGGAGCTTGCCTTTTCTTTGACAGACTGCAAACTTTCAAGCTAGAAATATGCCCTCTTAACCTATTTTCTAGGGTCTGCTCCATTCATATGCTAGGAAAGCAGCAAATAAGACCCCAATCTTTGGCATCTTTTGAAAAATGAGTCAGAAGAGACTTTTATCCCATCAGCATATTGTAGAAATGCAAGTCTGATCTGGAATGCAAGTGCTGGCATGTTTAAATCTGCACTATCTTTCTCCCAAGTAATGCTGAACTAAAGAAGCCCACTGAGTCTATTTTCCTCCCTGCAGGCTGTATTGTCTAGAATATCAATGAGCTTCTCTGCTTTTCAAACTCTGCAAGGTACCATCAAGATCAGCAGGAGCTGTACCTGGCAAGATTCAGGTCACATTCAACGTCAACACACTGCTTTATGAATGTTTCATTTTCCCAAACTAGTGACAATATTATGCATTTAGTAAGAAGAAAGTGAAAGTCTTTGATATGGCATGGGTTTAGCAAACACACATGCCCAACGAAATGAGTGTTTGCTGCAAAAATTTTAAAATGGCACACCATTTGATTCAGATGAGCATGAAAAACCACATGTTTCTGACTGCCTTCTGCCTGTGGGTCCCCCCCTTGCCCCAGTATCTTGACAGCCAACTGGACTGAAACTGATCTGATTCAACCATTGGCATAATAAAAGTGAACGCTGGTGCAAAAATCTCAGCTCATACCAGCAGAACCAAAGTAACTGACTAATGAGATTTATTTTGGAAAATAAATTTGCCTGTGGAAAGATACAATATTCTTCAAGACACCAGCAGTACACAGAGTATTTTCATACACTCACTGGAGCCCCATGGAAGAACCTGAAGCTGCTAGGCAAGCGATGTAAATATTCAAGCTATGTGGGTAGCTCAGAGCCAAGACTCATCAACAATCTCCTGACAGAACATCAATATGGTGGGGGGTCAAGCTATGCAATCAGCCCCAACAACTGTAATATGCATATACTAAGCAGCATGAGATCAGAACACCCTGCGAAGGATCCTTTTCTACTGAGTAAAGTATGAAGGCAGCCAAAACTGAAGAAAATGGGCAGGATCCAAAGAACAAAGAGTAGAATTTTGCTCCCATAACAGGGCATTCTTGCCTACACCTTTTTGTTTGTCCAAGAAAAGGTACTCCTGTAGGATCTCCGGGCTGGCATCAGAGGAAGGTCAAGACATAACATTTGGAGACTAGGGGAAATGAAACACATTCTCTTACATATGAGGGAATATACCTGGATACTTCTCATTTATTTTCTAAAGATAGCTCGAAGACTATAAAAATTCCAAAATTTTCAAAAATTGTGACAGGATCTCCTTAAAGTTCTGTGTAGAAAAGCTCTCTACTCTTTATGGTGCAACCTGTGATGCATAGGTCAAATAAATTAGCTTCCTTTTAAACACCAGCAACAAAGTAAATAAAGGTTTTTCTGTCATTTCTCTCTTACTCACTCATTGCCCCAGTCCAAGCGAGCCGTAATGTGCCGTTTGACATCCTTCATCCTATCATGGGTGAGATGGCCCACAAGTACCTGCCGTCGCAGATCTAGGATTTCATTCATGATGTGCCACAGTCGATGAAAGAGGTCCCCTTCATTTCTCTGTCAAATACATAGGCCCAGTTCTTAGACTGTCACATGGAGTGGAATTCATGACTGCGGCTGCACTGGTTCCAGAATTTGTTTTAAAATGCAGAATTAGTAAAAGTGAAGATCTCAAAAGTTGGATCACTTCTGTAGAATTTTAGTTGACCTCAAAAAAAGGTATATTGCTTGTTGGTAGGTTTTATTTTGTTTTTTGTCAACATGGCTATCTTTGTTTATATTTTATTGACAGTAACTTAAGAGTATCATTTTCTACTGGAAATGGAGAAGATACTGTACATAAAATAAATAAAAGGAAAATGTCAAGGGAAGGATTATGAGTTGTAGGTTTGAGACTGGAAGCTCTAGCTTCTAATGATAGAGAATGACTATAGCTCTTCCATACTAGTGTTTTGAAGGGGGAAGGATGCTTAAGGAGTATTTTTTAGGATTGGTCCAGTCTTCAGGGTATTTTACTAGTTCTTTCTTTCATGGCTAGGAATATTAGAACTTGGCTAGGTGGATGTAGATTTGGGAAATTTCTTGGAAAATGCTGAATGTTAACAGTTACTCCACCACTCTGCACTCCTTCTTCCACCTTGTCCTGTGAACGTGGTGCCATTTGAGTGGGCCAGAGTGAGAAAGCAACCAAATGTTGCAGCTTTAACTTTTAACATCCTTCATTGAATACATACTTGACTATATATTAAAATAGACTCATTTTTAAAAAGTAAATACAATGACTTCACTTCTTTATTGTGAAAGAACAAGAGCTGCAGCTACCACAGTCATATAGTATATTTACCACATAAAGCTGCTTCCACATTGTTCCCCAATCTCTTAAGGTTGATGTCATCTCTGTGATGACAGAGTCTTCTGTTGGAACAACCATTTCAAACTGCCTGTTACAAGGATAACATATGTAAAAAGCACACGTTTAAACAACACTATGTTTATTAAGCATTTTTTTTAAAAAAGCATTCACATTGGCTAGGATTACAGAATATAATTCAGCTTGACATTTTCTAGCTTTTGAAATAATCAATAAAGACGTCAGAACTGTTATATGTTATGTGAGGATAGGACTGTGTCTAGACATTTTGTTGTGCATAGTAAGAGGCAAGATGGCGCACTGCCCCATCCTTTGCACAGCTGAATCAGCACTGGGGGCAGGACTGCATCCCCCACCACACTTGAAAGCAGCAGGTTCATTTATGGTAGTAGTTCCCAACCTTCAGTAATCCAAGTGTTTTTGGGCTGTAGCTCCCAGAAACCCTAGCCAGCACAGCTGGTGGTGAAGACTTTTGGGAATTACAGTCCAAGAACAACTAGGTTTCCCAAGGTTGGGAACCACTGACTTAAGGGTTTTAGAACCAGCTGAATCTCTATGCTTTCTAGTATCATGCTATGCTAGGCTCTGGCACTGGGGGCAGACATCTCACCCTGCCAGTGAAGGCCCAGTCCATCAGAGCACCAAACATTCTACTAGATTCAACTCTGTCAACCTTACCACTTGGAAATATCAGTAAGAGTTCTCCTGAGGTGGAGGCATGGGTATGAATTTTCCCCTAACAAATGTGTCAGGAATGGTCAACTGCAAACCATTATGAGATTTAGGGGCCCCGGTAAAGCATGCTAATTACTAATAATTAATTAAGTAAGGAAACTGAATTCAGACTAGTGTAGGAAAACCAGCACAGAGAGAATCCTATGTCAGCTTTATGGTTGTTGATCAAAGCTGACAGATGATCACAAGCTCTCAGCTTCTCTTCCTAACCAGCAAGCATCTATATTCTGCTTCCTCTAGATCAATGTTCCCCAACCTTTTTCAGACTGTGGACTGGTTGGCGGGTGCTGGCTCCCTGCGCAGACCAGTTGGGGGGTGGGGGCACACTTGTGGAGGGGGCGTGTCAAGCTTGTGCGCATGCGCAACACACCCCTTGTGCTCGTGCGTGACACACCCACCGCTTGGGCGAGCCCGGCCTTGAGCGAAGGGGAGGCGGCTTCACCATGGCAGCCCGCTTGAGCCTGGAGGACCTTGAGCTGATGGGCGGAGCGCCTGAGCCAGGCCTTTCCGGACAAGGGCTTCCGTGCCCTCTTGGCCGAGCCCTCTTGGCCTCCACCACTGCTACCTGAATCTCTGCGCCCCCTTCCACCTTGATCAAAGATCTGGCGACAGCGGTCACGAGCTTGGACTCCTCGCCTTCCCTGCGACCAGCGGCGGCTCAGTTACTTGCGGCTGCCCAGTGGCAGCCCCTGGTCCCTGCCACACTGCCTGGCCCCCGGCCGCATGTAGGGACGTCTATAGTGGGGTGGTGGGAAACCCTTCTCCATTCTCCACCTCGAACGCAGGGGTCCACCGGAGTGACAACGGGGCGGGCGAGAGAGGTGAAGCTGGTGTGTGTGTCTGTTGAGAAATGGGGAAGCGGGCGGGGGCTTGGGCACTGACCTCCATGGGCTTGGAGGACTCCTCTTCCTCCTGCTAAAACTCTTCAGCTGGGCTGAAGCTGAGCTTGCCCAGACCTTCCCCATCCGGTTCCCGCAGGGCCCGCTCATTGTAGTGAGGTGACAGAGGGCAAGGTGGCCCAGGAGTGCACCAGCTCCAGCGTTGCCTCGCCAGGGCCACCCCAGGCCGCGCTCTTCGGGGAGTGCACGGTGAGGAGCGCTGGAAAGGAGCCCAGCGAGGGTCCCCACGCCGCCTACCCTCCCCGGGGGCTTCCTTTCCGCCCAGAAGTGACTCACCCACCCCCTCAGGGGACAAGCCGGCCCCTGGCCGGTGCCATCCTGTGTATGCCCCATTGCCCAGCAGCAAAGGAGGGCACACTGCCAGGCCTGCTGGGAGATGGAGTCTGCGTGCCTTACTGTGGCCCACGGGAACTGTATTTCACCCAGTCAGACTCTCCTCCTCCGAGGTCGTCGCCCTCTGCTCTGGCTCTGGCATGCTCCTGGCTGATGGTGAAGGCTCCTGGCCCGGACTTCGCCAGGACTAGTAGGACGACCACCAGCTGCCCCTTCCACCTTGATCAAAGAGATCTGGTGGC